TACCTGTGGGAGTCGCACGAGCCGATGAAGGGCATCTCCGGCAAGATGCCAGGGACACCTCCTCGCTGACCAACCCGGCGAAGGACAGCGCCCCCAGCAGAGCTGCCGCCGGCGCTGAGAGCGCCAGGCGTGAGAGCCCATGAGGGGGACGCAGCGGGCGCCGCCGGTGCTTGCACACCTGGCGCGCGCCCAACCCAAGCCGCCGGCCTGCCCGCCGTGCGTGCTTGAGTGCAATCACCAACCACCTGCGCCGCCGGCGGATTAGCCGCGCGCTCGCAGAGTACACCCACCCGTGCCTTCGGCACTGGCCAATACCTCAGCGCGAACGTATGCGCACAGGCTTGTCCGTCCGGGCCCCACCAGTGCCTGGGATACTGTGGGTCCCCTTGCAGCCGTTGGACAAGGGCCATGCTGGAGCCTGCCTGGCACGCCGGCTCTCTATGCCAAGCCTGGTCGTGGCGGGCACACTGACGTCGGCTTAAGATACAGTAGCTGGCAATCTGACGGCTCAGTGTGGCCGCAGCACCAGAATTCACGCGCAGGCACAGGCCCGCGCCCCAGCGCCGGCCCGGGGAACCCCCTCTGTCAGGGGCCGGACCCTGCCCGCCCCGTGCACTTGTGGAGGGGCGGGGGGCCGGGAGATCTGGAGGCCGCGGCGCGGACGGGGGTGCCAAGCACCGGCCTGTGCCGAGCGCCAGCGATAGCATCTTCGGGCCTCAGCCCGAGGTCAGGCTCCGCCGGCAATCAAGGCACCGGCGCGAGCCCAAAGCCTAACCTCGCGGAGAACAGCCGCGCGCGCCGGCATCAGTTGCCTGGCGGCAGTCGGCAGACAGGAGGGCCAGTGGGGCCCCACGCGCACGCCGGCGCATGCGCCAGGCGGTGCGCGACTCAGAGCATAGACGGTGCCGGCAGCACAGAGCCTGGCACCCAGTTTTGGTGACGCCCATCAGGGCGCCCACACAGCACGCCGGCGCGTAGAATCCGCCAGGCGGCCAGTGTGCAGGGCCACTGGCAGCAGCACCAGTATCATTAGAACAAAGGCGGCGAGGCCCGCTTCGCGTGGCGGAAGGAGGGACCCGCCCGGCGTATCAACGCCGGCGGGAGGAGCATGCGGCCAGCGCAGCAGCAAAATGGGGGGGGCTGCACCGCTGCCGCCATCGTCGTCGTCGTCTCCTGAGAGCCCGCTTCTGACCGCTTCGCGGCTGGCACGTCCCGCGGCCTTACAGCAGGCCGCGCTTTCGCTAGCGCCGTACTGTGGGGGCGGGGTCTTAGTTGTTTGTCCTAAACGGTTGGACCCCGCCCTCCCCAGTCGGCTTGGGTTTTCTCCTCTCCCTGCTCCTGCCTCTGCCTGCCCTTCTCTCTCCCTCTCTCCCGCTCAAGCCTTCGGGGCTCAAAGCCCTCCCAGGGCCCGAATGGGCCCTCTTTTGCCCGCCCACCCTGGGCTTTGCCTTGGTGTCTAACGGCACCGCGGCGAGGCCCGCTTCGCGTGGCGGAAGGAGGGACCCGCCCGGCGCCACCAGCGCCGGCGGGAGGAGCGTGCGGCCAGCGCAGCAGCAAAATGGGGGGGGTGCTGCACCGCTGCCGCCATCATCATCGTCTCCTGAGGGCCCGCTTCTGACCGCTTCGCGGCTGGCACGTCCCGCGGCCTTACAGCAGGCCGCGCTTTCGCTAGCGCCGTACTTTGGGGGCGGGGTCGTGAAGGCGGGGATCAGAGCAACATGCCCGTGCCAAAAACATCACCCAGACCAAGAATACAAAAGGCCAAAAAACAAAAAACACAAATAGCAACCGCAAAAAAAAACACCAAAAAACGCAAAAAAAAAAAACAAAAAAAAAAACAAAAAAAACAAAAAAAAAAAAAAAGAAAAGCAAGGAACAATAAAACCGCAAAGACCCAACAAAAAAAAAAAAACAAAAGAAAAAAAAAACCGCAGGCAAATGTACGAATCGGAAACGTGAGCGACGCGTCGGAGATATCGGGACCGCCTGGACATGCGTGAAGTGGGCCCTCTGCGGCCCTCCAACGCCGTCTCGGAGGGCCCCAAAAGTGTCCAAGAGGAACCACATCAAGTCGAAATCGAATCGAAAGAATGCCCTCTTGCGTGATTTGGTGCCGACTTGATTGTGGCTCCTCTTGGGCCCCTCTCGGGGCTCTTAGGGCCCTCTCGGGGCCCTCGGGAGCCCTCCAACCCCATCCTGGAGGGACCCAAGAGAGCCCAAGAGGGGCCCGAGACGAGCAAAATCACATTGCCATGAGCCCTGCGTGGCTTGACTTGGACCCCACTCGGACCCCTCCGAGAGTTCCGAGAGGGGCCGGGCCCTCCGATGCCGTTTCGGAGGGCCCCGCGAGGAGGCCAAGAAAAATTAAGTTCGAATTGCAGGTCACGCGAGAGCCTGATTGCGTGACTTGATGCAGACTCCTCTTGGGCCCCTCTTGGGGCCACCTCGAGGCCCTCTCAGGGCCATCGTAGGGCCGCCAGGGTCGTCTCGGAGGGAATCCTGGGGCCCTCATCAAGCCCTCCCGAAGCCTCAAGGGCGCCCTGCCGCGAGGACCCCTTCAGCAGAAACACTGATCAGGGAATCTCAGGAACCTGCGAAGCCGGTCGCTTGTATCGCAATCGGCCTGGCACTTTCGCCACGCCCTCGCAATCTCGGGAACCACGGGGGCCAGGAACCTAGCTAAAGTCCGAGTCGTTCCGAGTTGACAAGAAGCCGCCCCATTATCATTCTCCTCCTCCTCCAGACGAAGAAGAGGGCGAACGACAACAAGTACGACGACGAGCGGCAACGTCGAACGATCACCCACGTCCGCAGTCGAACGACTACCACGACGACCAGAGACGAACAACGACCGACGGTGACGACGACAACGACGACGACGACCACCACCACCACGACGACGACCACGACCACGACGACGACGACGACGACGACGACCACGACGAATCCGACGACTACGACGAAAACTACGACGGCCGACCGCGCCGGCCCCAGACGTCCGACGATCTGATGCTCTCAATCCGCGCCCCTGGAGGACCCCTTGTCGGAGAGCGCTTCTCGTCCAGGCCCCATGTTTTATTGCCTCAGGGGGCCCGAGAAAGGCCCCCCGAGGCCGAAATCGAGGAGGGAGCTGAACAAAAATCCGCCGGCCCCCGCCTGCCCGGGGGTGAGGAGGCGCGTGAGATAAGTGGCTGCCCCCCTCCCCGGGGGCCCAGAGTCCCGTTTTAGGGGTGGCGGGAGGGGGGGAATCCAGGCTCCTCGGCGCACCCCCCCTGGAGACTCTGGAGCTTCCAACTCTGCCTTCCGTGGCCTCAAAGACCACCAAGACATTCCAAGACGGGTCGAATCGCGGAACGATTGGCCCAAGACGCCTACGATGGCTCCAAGACGCCCCAAGACGCCTTCGAGACGCCCCAAGAGTCTTCCCGCGCGTGCCCCGAGGGGCAACCATTAATGGTTTTCTTCAGGGTCTTCATTGTTTCCGGGGTTCTCGTGTTCTCGAACTTCCGACGCTCCAAGACGGCCCAAGAGGCCCCGTAGACCGGCCCAAACCTGCCCAAAAGGCCCCCTTCGATGGCTCCAGGACGGCCCGAGAAGGTTCCAAGACAGCTCGAAGAGGGGCCCACGACGGCCACAGATCGGCCCAGGCAGGCCCCAAGAGAGTCACACGCGAATAGAAAATCCAATCTTTCTGCCCCCAGAGGGCCCCCAGAGGTTCCAAGAGGCCACCTAAGCGGCCAAAAAGAAGCCCCCAAACAAGCCCCAAAGGGCCTCCAAGAGGCCCCAAAAGAGACCCCAGAGCGGCCCCAAAACACGCATCATAACTGCTTCCAGAAGGCTGCGCCAGGCCCCCAAACAGCTTCGAAGACGCCCACTAGAACCCCCATTATCCCGGCAAAGCAACCTAACAGCGATGTGTAGAAGCATATATGAAAGCATTCCCCTTAAGATTCAGATGAAAATCCAGTTGTAGAATTCTGCTGTTCTCGCAGTCGTAGTCGCATTCGCGATGACAGTCGCAGCGGCAACGGCAGTCGCAGTCACAGCCTCAGCCTCAGCCTGCCTCAGCCTCAGCCTCAGCCTGCCTCAGCCTCAGCCTGCCTCAGCCTCAGCCTCAGCCTGCTTCAGCCTCAGCCTCAGTCTGCCTTCAGCCTCGGCCTCAGCCTCAGCCTGCCTCAGCCTCAGCCTGCATCAGCCTCAGCCTCAGCCTCAGCCTGCCTCAGCATCAGCCTGCTTCAGCCTCAGCCTCAGCCTGCCTCAGCCTCAGCCTCAGTCTGCTTCAGCCTCAGCCTCAGTCTGCCTTCAGCCTCGGCCTCAGCCTCAGCCTGCCTCAGCCTCAGCCTGCGTCGGCCGCAGCATCAGCCTGCCTCAGCATTCAAAATGTGGCCCAGGAATGGAGTTCTGGGAACTAGAAGAACACGAAGCGGCCTACAGTTGGCTCCGGGCATTCAAAATGTGGCCCGGGAATGGAGTTCTGGGAACTTGAAGAGCACGAAGTGGCCTACAGTTGGCTCCGGGCATCCAAAATGTGGCCCGGGAATGGAGTTCTGGGAAGGCGAAGAGCACGAAGTGGCTTACAGTTGGCTCCGGGCATCCAAAATGTGGCCCGGCAATGGAGTTCTGGGAGGGCGAAGAGCACGAAATGTGTGACTGTTGGCGAAAAGCGAGCCCGGCTCTGTTCCCGGTTCTCCAGAATGTGGCCCGGGAATGGAGTTCTGGGAGGTCGAAGAGCACGAAGTGTGTGACTGTTGGCGAAAAACGATTCCCGGTTCTCCTCCCTGGCACCTGCCCAGACCCCCCTGAGGAGTCATGATGCTCTCTTTTGACCCTACTAGAAACCTATCAGCAAACGCTCTTAGGTAACATAGTGCCCAACAAAAAAAACCACGCTTTAACCGTAGACTCCACGCATTTTCTGAGGCCGGCGGAATGGCGTGAGCCCCTGAAACAGCGTTGCAGAATGGGACGGACGACGAGAGAAGAGGGAGCGGCGCGCTGACTTGGCGAAGCGGCTCTTTTTGCGCAGGGCGACGCTGGAGTCCATCTGGTTCGCCATGTCCTCGGGACTCCCGGGGCCCCGCCCAGACGCAGGGAGGCGACGAGCGCACGAGAAGGTCAAACGTGGAGGCTGCTGGGGGGGCTGTGTTGGCTGGGCCCCGAAAGTATCGGTCAGGGGGGAGGGGGGGATTGAAGCCAAATCCGATCAAAATCGGTCCCCGGACCCCTCCCGTGGTCCATCTGGTGCAGTTGTAAACCCCAGATCCATTTTTGACGGCCCGGGTGTGGAGCCACGGATAATACAGATGTGATGTGCTTCCTTCGTGACTGAGCACAACCGCTGCACCTGCGAGGCTGCGTACACGCACATAAAATCTGAACGAATGCTTCAACAGTGAACCAAGATCCTTAGATCATCACTCCCCAAACGCAAGTGCTCGTGAAGAATCAGCCCGATATCAACATTTCGGGAATTCGTCCTTCGAAGCAAACTCGAAAATGTATGTTGCTCGTGGAGGGAGGGAAAGAAAAGAGGGAAGCGGGATGGCCTCCCCAGATTGCAGGGGGTGATCATCAGGTGGGCGTCGCCTGCCAGGTCGTCATGCACGAATGGCGACAACAGCATCAGTCACGCTCAGAACTCTCATACACGGGCAACCCATCGCGCCTTCACAAGCTCCTGGCCGTCCGCGTCGTACGAGGGTGAGAACGACGCCCGTCTCCACCAGCCGATCTGGTCGAGCCCGCTTGATCCCACCCGACTCCTTCAGATTGCACGCTCGCGCTGCATGCTTAACCTGATCGGCAGTCTGCCACCCAGCCAGCTTAGCCACGATGGTGCTATCTGGACGCGTCTTCTCGGTCATCTCACGTCGGCCATTAAGCAGAACACCTCGTCGCGTGGACCGCCGGTCCGCACCGTGGTAGACAGGCAGACATCAGCCAAGACGATGGACCAGGCGCCGCCCGCCTCTCCCAGCGCGGCGGCCTTCACCGCAGCCCGAGGAGCTGCGATGGATGATAAAGCTGAAGTGTCTGCTGGTGGCTCAATGTCGGCTGGAGCGGCAGTCGGACGGAGCCTCTCGCGGGGTTGTCTGCCCTCGAGGTCGAACGCCCGCTCGGCCGCGACGCCGTCGGGGACCCCAGGGCCTCCTCAGCTAGCCGCTTCACCGAGTGATCTACTTCGAGTTTTTCAATGTTTGTTTTTTTTCAACGCCGAGGCAGCGCGTCCTGAAGCTGGGCAACCCTGGACAGATCAATCGCACCAGGGTCACCATATGGTGGAAGAACTGCTGGAAATAAAAGACTGTCGGACTCCTGGAGACTCCGCCACATCGCGCCCCTGATTCTCCGCAGGTGGGTCGACACAGGCGGCATTGCCCTGCTTGCCCTTGGAATTATGATGCGCTGCCGTGAACTTCTGACGCGCATGCCAGTCGGCCCATCCCTCCTCGCGGGCAGCATGTTGCAGGTGTTCGGCGGCCGCTCTGGTCAGAGCCCCAGCATGAGATAGCCAGATCCGCATGGCCTCGTCGTCGCTGCACATCAAAACCGCCGGCCGCGCAGCAGCTCGGACAGCAGCGCCCCCGGGCAAACCTCGCTGTGCAACGCCAGACCGTCGGCGACAGCGTCTGGCGCATCCTTGAAAGGTCGGCTGGAAGTGACGGATCGCGTCCGAAGACGCGCCGACGCGGACGCTGATTCCGAGGTACGCGGCTCACCTGATCGCAGCCCGCGGCGACGCGGCGCCCCCATGCCTGATGAGACCTCGGCTGGGTGAAACCGATCATATTATTCAAGATATCCGCGGACCAGGAGCCGCGCCTCGCGCCTTGCCAAGGAGCCAGTAATATTCACCTGGGACGACGTCAAAGTCGACGCCATCACACTCGAGCACATCGGTCACGATCGCCGCGGCCCGGGCCGAGTCGCACTCGGCTCGGACCGGCGCGCCGCAGGGTCGAAGACAACAGATAGCCCAAGCCTTCCCCAAGGTTTCGCCGCCCCCCTGATCCCCCCTGCCTCTTAGACGTCATGAGCTCCTGGGACACCATAAACTCACAAAGATCAGGCTCGATGAAGCCTTGGCGCAGGGCGCATCGAGCACTCCGAGACCGAAGCTGACATGTCCTGGGACATGCCCATGACGATGGCGCGAACCAGCTCTGGTGAACTTCGCTGCGAAGCTGCGCTCCGTCGCTCACCGACAACGCCTCCTGGAATCGTCTCATGTCAATGATCCCCAGGGAACTTCTTGGAGAGCACTCGTGCGAGGTCGGGGCTCGAGGTGACGAATCAGAAGGTATTTGATGGGGCTCGCCACCTGATCACAGTTGCCGCATCGACAATCACGACCGACAGCCTCGAATACATCTTCGCGACCCTTCAGCCATATCATCTCCGGCCCGCCCCACGACTGAGCAGATTGAGGCCGCTCGATGTCGGAGCGACGACCGCGCCCCAGCTGGAACCGCGCCATCTGCGCGCACAGTCGAAGTAATTGCTGGGCCCTGGCAGGTCGTCGCCGATGCTCCAAGGAGGAAGACCGTGGGTCCGTGAACTAGAAGACGCTGAACATGGCGCGCGGCGGTGACTGACGGTGGCGCGCGGTGGGTTCGCCCCTCGCGCAGCTGCCGCCACATCTCGAGCGGCGACCAATCCTCCGCGGGCCCCAGCCGGCAGCGATGTCCAGGGCCTTGAACGGGCCCAGGCCGTTGAGCTCGGCCACTGGCCCAGCGCGCTCTGGACTGAAGAGCTCGCGCAGGCTTGATGGACCAAGGTGGGTAGTGGCATCTGCAGTGCACTTCACGAGACGCCTCCTCTGTCGGCGAATGAAATGGCCAGAAGCGTTCTCAGTCGCGCGATGGGCGCCATCGAGCTCGGCGGCCATCGCGCCCGAATCCTGGTCGGCGGGCCGTCGGTTGGCGTCGCCATGCACCTGTCCGCGTCGTCGCCGTGGATCGCCTGGGCGGCTGTCTGGGTCTTCAGCTCCTGCGGAGGCGGTTCCGCATTCGCCGAGTTCCGTGGGTCGTTCGCTGCGCCTTTTGGAGCCGGGATCAAATTCGACTGCTTTTCGGACCAAGCGACGGCCAGGCAGATCGCAACCTCAGGGTTGCTGACGAGGGGCTCCAAGTAGTCACTGAAGCCATTCGGGGCGAAGTCCACGAGGGAGACGGCGCGTGGCCACCTGCTCTAGCAGGCAGAAGTCGCCCTGGCAAGTCGTAGATCGCGACCGCGCCACGGGCCACGTCGACGCGAGACTTCACGGCCCCGATGCGCCCCCGAGACATCGGAAAGGGCGCTGGGCCAGGGGCGAGCGACCACTTGGCTATCGCACTCCTGCCGAAGATGTCCGACGGTAACACGGCCTCATTTACTGACGACAGACAGCCATCGTTCCCGAAGGCCGCCTTCGGCGCATCTGGAAAGGTAGACCGGTCGTAGCGCATCTGCGTCGCCATCTGATGTTAGAGTAACTGGAACCACGATGACTGTCGGATTTCCTGGAGACTCTGGCCCATCGTGCCCCTGATTCTCCGTAGGGTGGCATTGCCCTGCTCGCCCTGGAACTTATCCTGCGCTGCCTCGAACTCTTGACGCGCACGGCAGTCAGCCCGTTCCTCCTCGCGGATCGCACGTCGAAGGTGTTCGGGGGCCGCTCTGCTCAGAGCCCCGGCATGAGATAGCCAGCAACGTGTCCGTTCGAGATAGCCAGCAACGCCCGTTCTTCTCGACGAGAACCGTGGCGCGAACGCCGACGGGCGCTGTTCCCCCAATCTTCCCGGCGCCCCTTGCCTCGACCCCGTCGCCAATGCGCCGCGCGATCCCCAGCTCGAAACTGTCGCAGAAGACGCGGTCGAGCCACCAGAGCAGTCTGCCCGACCTCGTCGCCGCTGCACATCAAAACCGCCAGCCGCGCTGCAGCTCGGACAACGGCCGGCCCCTAGTAAACCTCGGTGCGCAGCGCCAGGCCGTCGGCGACAACGCCCAGCGCACCCTGGAGAAGGTCGGCCGGAAGTGGCGAATCGCGTCCGAAGACGCGCCGATGCTGACACTGGTTCCGAAGTACACGGTTCTTCTGATCGGGTCCGCGTCTCGTCCTCAGCAATGCTCTGATACGTAAGACAACCTGAGATCTTCAAATGGCATCGGCTGGGCGCGTCGCCCAAGCCGTAGATATGCAGCACGAACTCCTCCAACTGGTTGAGATGGAGCCGCGGAAGATCCCCATGGCGGCTGCTTCGCATTGCTGAGGACCGCATGGGCGGTGCAGCGGGTCAGACTACATGAATACGCCTCGAATGTCGCCGATCTGTAATCGCCAAGGGTTTGAGGCCGCCAGCTGGAGGACAAGCATCCGAGTATTCGGTGATACCGTTGGAGCCGCAGTCTGATTCCAGTATACCAGTTTGAACGCATCCGGCTCCTTGAAGCCACGGGCAACCCATCGCGCCTTCACGAGCTCCTGGCCGTCCGCGTCGTACTTGAGGGTGAGAACGAACCCCGTCTCCACTAGCCGATCTGGTCGAGTCCGCTTGATCTCGCCCGACTCCTTCAGATTGCATGCTTGCGCTGCATGCTTCTCCTGATCGACATTCTGCCACTCAGCCTAGCCGCGATGATGCTATCAGCGAGATCTGGACGCGTCTTCTCGGCTCTCTCTTTTCGGCCATTGACCAGAGCACCTCGTCGCGTGGACTGCCGGCCCGCACCGTGGCAGGCAGGCGCTAGCCACGATGCGGGACCAGGCGCCGCCCGCCTCTGCCAGCGCGGCGGCCTCCACCGCAGCCTGAAGAGCTGCGATGGATGAGAAAACTGAAGTGTCTGCCAGTGGCTCAGTGTCGGCTGGAACGGCAATCTGACGGAGCCCCTCGCGGGGCGATCTGCAATCGAGGTCGAACGCCCGCTCGGCCGCGATGCCGTCGGGGGCCCCCGAAGTCTCCTCAGCGATCCGCTTCGCCGAATGGTCTACGTCGAGCTCGTCATGGTTTTGCGTCAGCGTCGAGGCAGCGCGTCCTAAAACACGGCAACCTTGGACAACCCGACCGCGCCAGGGCAACC